GGCATCCGGAACCCCAGAGGACTCGCCTTTCCCAGGGCAGCTGGAGGCTGGGTCCCTCTCTCCACTCCCCAAGCACTGCAGTGGATTGGTCACTCCTCCGTCAAGCTCTGTCAGGCTCAGGGAAACCCCCCTGAAAGACCAATCTCATCAAGAAGGTATGAGAAATAGTCAGTTCCTTTGAACAAGGCCAGGTCACAGCTTGCTCTTCTTGTGAGCACCAGTGGTCGTTGGCCCACTGACTGAAACAAAGTGCAGCAGAAACCGCCTTGCTGGGCCCCTCGCGCACCCCCCACCCCACCCCCCCGGCCACCCTTGGGGTTCCTCGACGGGTTACTGGGGTCGCCGTCCTGCTGTGTCACCTGTGATGGTGCTTCGTTCTCAAATAGAAACCACAGGAGCAGTTTCAATTGACTGTCCACTTTGGACCTGCAGAAGGTGACGATGGAAAGGGGACTTCTCTTAATTCCTGGGCCCAGCTGCCATTTCCATCCACTTCTACTCAAGCAAGGAGACCTACCTGCTGGGTCGAGGCACAAGAGGGACTGCCACTTGAACCTGGTACCTGTGTCACCACTCACCTTGTTTCAGTGCGCTCAGCCGTCCGAGGGACCTGTTGAGAGCATAAGAGGTTTTGCTGGGAGGCTCTGGGCGCCCCAGTGCCTGGCCCACGGTAACCCTGCAGTAGGAGCTGGTGCTAGCCCGTGCTGTGACGTACCAAGTCTCTCTGGTGTGCCAAGCTCCGTGGTCCTGCAAGGCCCAGCGTGTCTGTTCCCTGGGAGGAGGTCGAGTCCCGGAGTGGTGACGTCACGGTCCCAAGGTGAGTGGCGTGTGAAGGTGCCAGCAGCAAACCAGGTCAGCCTGACGGTGCAGCCCAGGCCCGGCTGTGGTTTTCGAGAGGAAACGCCATTGCGAGCAGATAGCCCTCTGTGTAAATGGCCCAGAGCCATGGAGGTAAACACAGAGCTCCGCTCTACTCAACTCAAGGTAATTCATAGCCGCTGAGTAAACAGATCATTCTGGGCAAGAACTCCCTTGCGTCGACTTGCCTGTTCTATGGATTCTCG